TGTCCAGCTGTCCTCAGATTTTAGTGATTTTCCAACTGTTGTCATTTAGCGATGGAACTAGTAATTTAATTTGTTCACGCTATCCTTCTCATAGTTTCATTATAAGCCATATTAGCTACTGATTATGTTAAAGGAACCGTTGTTTTACGGTTAAAATGTATTTAGCTTTGAAATCCCATATTGGCTTGTGTCATTTAATTCTAAGATGTGATAATGCTCATATTATATTAAAACTTACACTTTCTTATTCAAATAGTCTTTCAAAATTCTAGTTTGATCAGTAGTTTATATCACTTAAGTTTTTATAATATGTGTTTTCGTTTTTTGAAAATCTTCAGAGATTTGAAAATGGAATAAAATAATATACTTTAATCCAAATAATATTTTTTTTATTAAAATAGTTTAGTTATTATATTCAACCAAGCTTTATCTTATAAATCTATCTAAATCATTCTGTACACATTCCATTACAAGGATAACAAAATGATAAGAACAACTCACAACTACTTATCTTAGGCTATCACAGCTTTAGCTAGTGTTAATCAAAATCAGAAGATTAAATTATTTGGTAAACATTTAAGTCGAAAAATTCATTAGGCTAAATGTTCATGTAGTATCTGTTGTCTAGTTGCAGTTAGATCAGTTTTGTGTTAAAAGTTGACTGTTATTGTCATCACAAAACCGTCATATAAATGTCGTTTTATTCAGAGTAGCAGATTACTGTAAACTTTAAAGCAACTGATCCCTTTGATAAATCATTACACTATCCAAATTTTAGACTTTCCTTTAATTTGGACACTGTTTAGTGATTACAGAGTCCTCCAACAAACCTTAATAACTATATAATCACTAGCAAAAGTAATCAGGTTGTTATGTTTCGATAACTGAATATTAGATAAGTTACTTTATGGAATAACACTCGAATTTCTCCTTCACATCTTTTAACCGTTCAAAAACAGGTTTAGTGATCAGACACTGATAGTTATGCAAAGTTAAAATCACACCTATTACAGTCAAACTACTCTAAGTAGTTTGCCATTATGTTTCATGATGTTACTGACACAAACATGCAACTTTTTTTATGTTGCTCAAATAATTTGCGATGAATATTCCCATTAGAGGTTTCTTAATCATTTATAAACTATCTATCAAACAAATATAAATTATTGTCATAATCAAGTATTTTGTGTCACGATAAGTTTCTAAACCCGCAAATGCAGTATTTCGTACGCTTTTTTCTTATGAGCACTTGACTTGTCATTACGGCAGATTTGTCTTCAACGAGTGACTAACGTAATTATTTTTGGTTAAGCAAATATTTTTTCAACAAATCCTGGAAATCTAGCTAATTTCCTAAAGATCTATTTACATATAAGATAAATTAGTCAGTTATCTATTTATTTAGTAATGTTGTTGTGTACGCTGCTTATATATGTCGACATAAGTAGTATATGACCCTAATGAGAAGTGGAATGTCTGTCAAAAGAAGGTTGAAAAGACTGAACTGAAGAAAATAGGAAGGGAAACATATAGAAATTGAGAATTGGAAGAATTATAAAGAATTAAAAGGACAATTAATGAAGGATTCGCAAACGAATGTATGGTTTCAAGTTAATTTAGCATTGGATAAAAAGTTAATGATTAATATACAATTCGTGAGAAATTATATCTTTGACGATGCGTAACTTACTGTAAGCCACTTCTTCAAAGTAAATAAATAACCGAGACTAAATTAACATAATCTTAAATGGTAAATAGGAAACAATACAGAATATCTTCAGTACAATCAAAATCATAATAGGTCTGAATATGTTCAATCCTCAGTAATTGATCTTCGACATAATGTTAGAAATGATATATAGTAAATATAATGAAAGTAACTTTCAGATTTCCACTCAAACTGGTTCTTATTTTGACTTGAATTAAACCAAACATACATGACATACAAGTTACATAAAAAATGAAGTGGTAGTGATTTTCAAATTAGATTCAATTTCATGAATTTGTATTAAAAACAATGTAACTAAATTACATTTTTTACATCGTTAAATCATAACATTCTACTATTTTTTTAAGTTCTGGCATCTTTCAGAACTACACGTCTATTCATTCCACAGAACTGTAAATTGGCAAACAAAACAGTTTCAATTTTTCTTCATCAATGACGTCATATATTTTTAGAAAATTCTTAGAACTTTAATAATTGTGTTTGTTGCCAGTCAGCGATTTATATTTAAGATTGCAAATTTTATTTGACATTCAGATGTATTAACATTAAACGTATACCATCATCATCAACAACTAAATCTTACTCATTTAAAATGATTTAATCAGTAGATAAGAAACTTAATAGCCATTAGAAATCAATGTGAAACCTCAGTTTTTCGATTAAACAACTAAAATTTCCTGATCAATAACTGTGATAGTTTAGGAAGTTTTAAGCCCAAACACTTTTATAAGGGTTTTTCGTACAACAATTTTTATGAAACTTAATGACTAGTGAAACATACTGCAACATAAATAAATAAATTTTATTCTCGTTTCTTTTTTACAGAAAAGAACGTTTGCAAACGTTTTGTTTTTTACCAAGCAGAGTAAAACAGTTGTAAACCATCTAGAAATGAATCCCATAATAAATCAACAGCTTCAAACAAATTTCATACATACTTTGAAAATTCTGCTCAGACAATAGCTCAAACTAGAGGAGAAACGGCCTTTACCAAACAAATAAAAGTTGAAAGATGTAGTAGTATCAGATGAAAATAATTTTGAAATCTTTGTAAAATCATTTGCACAGAATTGTAATTAATTTATAAATAAACATTTGATAAGGTGACCGGTTTTTTCATTATCTAGAAAACTAAAACCAACCAAGAAAAAATGATCTGTCTTTTGTGTTAGTTTAGAATTTTTCAATGTTATATAATGATAACCATTTAAAAAGTCAAATTAATCCTATTTCGGCAGTGCATCAAATTAGATACTCTCGGACAAAGAATTTAGGATTTAATAATATATCCTTTCGACTTCAATCGATTCTCGTTATAATATGATCATCATCTGATGCCACTATTGACAACTGTATCAATCTGCACATGATCAAATCCAGTGATCACCAATAAAGTAAGCTTATATATTTGAAGAAATATTGTTTTTTCGTTTCACCAGACCGTACTTCTTCTTCACTTCATTGTGCCCGACATTATTATTTATTTACTTAACTTAAAGTTGATTGCATACAAATAATTTTTATAGGCCAGGACAATTTAGTCATCTACTAATAAGATAAAGATGCCTAATGATTCGACCCTAATTCATCGAGGAATGAGCGACGTACAAAACCGATTTTATCCAATCTTTCTTGCAATCTGATCACTTTATTCAATTCACATGATAAATCTTCCTAGAGCAGAAAAAGGAATTAATATCAAAAATTTATGTTTACTTAGCAAACAGTGGGTGACATATAAATGTCAATAGTGAGGTTGTCATTGGTATACAAGATAGAAACATGATTTTTAATAAACTAAAAGTTTTTATAACAGGCCAGAAGTATCAACACTTTCCGAATATTGTTACACAAAGATCCTATTTTATTTTTGCTGTGACGATATGATGGATAAGTGTAACAATTAGACTCTATTCATTGGAGAATTAACTATCTATAAAATCAATTTTATTCAGTTGTTTTTTACGACTTAGTCATATTGTTTTTCTGGCAATATTTTGTGCACAGCCAAGCAATCTTGACGTTGAAAAACTGTTATTCAGGTTCATGATATTGTTTTTCACTCAAAACATTCAGGAGGTTTAAATCAATAAATTGGTCTTATGAGCAATCATTACTCAACCATTGCATAAAATCTGCCGTTCTCTTCTCTTCAATCTTTCTAACCTTGTGCCGCCAGGTATTCCGATTTCGATTGGTGATACACACTACTTACATATGTCGATATCATTAGCACACGCCATAACATAGTAAGTAGCAAAAGTGTATTTCAGTACCAGACCAAATAGTTTAATGAACTTTAAAATCGATCGAAACAAATGAAAATTCATTACATAGAAGAAAGGAAATACTACTTTGGATTTTTTTCGTTTTCTAATTTGTGTGCTGCTCAAATGAGTGGTTCCTATTCTTATGAATAACTCAATACTTTTGATCTGTTTAAATATTGTTATGTATACTACTTATATAAGTAGTGTGTAGCACCAATCAGAATTGTAATGCATGCCAACAGAAGATTAAGAAGATTCAAATAAAGAGAACATAAAAGGGAATAGAGAGTAATTTTAACTATCAATATGGGGTTGGGCAGATTATTAAATTTTTGATTCACATCATGAACCGATTGATGTTAAACCACTATTGAAAACCTGAAAGCACTGGATGGACACTTCGTCCTATTGTGATACTTCTCAGCAGTGCGCATCCACAATCCCGATCGCGGGATTCGAACCCAGGGCCTTCAGTCTCTCATGTGAACTCTTAATCTTTAATTTGAATAACGACATAATTGAAAGAATCATAAATTATGCAAGAGAATAATTGATGGAAGATGTGGTTTTCATATTTTATCATCCCACTATGTAATTTTACATTGTGAGTCTAGTAATTTCAATAGTTGAAAAGGAGTCCCACACTAAGACGAAACAGCTATCCAGTTCTTCCAAGTTTTCTATGATGGTTTAGCTTCAATTGACTCATGATCTCAACTATAATATGAATTTCAACTTAGATTATCTCAACAAATTTAATATATATTTTTATTTTATAATTAATTTTTTATGAAAATCTAATTATTTTTTTTTGACAATGTATCTTGTTAATCAGTTTGTTTCATTTATGTAAAGTTTTATTCAAGGAATTAACAATAATAATAACCGACAAAATTAAACCAGTTATAATGATTCTATTTATTTTAACCAATAGAACCATAATAGTGATTTTCTATATTAATGATATGAATATATTTTAAGAAAAACAACAACAAAAAATTGATCAAATGAACAAGCTAATTAAAACAAAAACATCTTAATTCCAGTAAATAATAGTTGCATTTTAATCAGTATAGTAATAATAAGTTTGTTTTTTCAAACAAAAAAAGCGTCTCATTTAAACAGTTAATCAATAAACTGGTGATTTATTTCAATATTTTTTAACATGGAATAATTGTAATGAATAATTTTGAATTATAAAATAACAGTAACCATAGTAACAGCTGATCATTATTCTACTAATAAATGAATTGATGATTTGTTTTGAACAATTCAATAAAAATGTTTAAAAGAATATTGAAATTTGACAAGTCGGATGTAAGTGATGTATTTTTGGTTTTATTTTAATGATATAATCATTGTATAGAAATCAATTAGAATAGATTTCATAATAGGCTTTTTCCATTTAAAATCATTAAATTATTTATTGAATAAGTGAGTTGGCAGTGAACAATGATATTTGATATTGATAGTAACTTCTTTGATATTTAACGTATCTACTGGTTATATCCGGTTATTTTTATGAGTAATCGGTTCGAATTATTTTCACACATTTAAACAATATGAACAAAAGATAAGTTAGTAACTGATCCGTTTGTTACATTTCTTTTTATTACATTGAAACATTTAAGAAGATGAAATGTGAAATACACGAAATAGTAATAGATACTGGAATAAAAGTTAAACATGAATAACATAATTGATAAAGAAATTATTGGTGTCATAAAATGAAAAAAGTATGGAACATCAATAAGATTAATATCTCATGCAAAGGTTTTATGATAAATGTTTCTGGGACATTACAATACATTTTACACCACAATACTCGAAACTTTTAACCATGAATAAATCATTTTAATCAGGAAGTTGAAGTTACACAATAACACTGTTGGATGCCGGCTTAGTGGTCTGTGGGTTAAACGTTTGCGCGCTAGAACGAAGGTCTTGGGTTGGAATCCCTCATGCAGTGTCGTGGATGCTCACCAATGAGGAGGCCGGTACTATGACGAGATGGCTGGCCAGTGCTCCCAGATTTTCAGTGATTGTCTAACATTGATCGGTTCACTCAGAATATTTTTCTAATATTAGTTCTCTGTTTTTATAATTTTCTGACAGCTGTTGTAGATATTCTGCTATGTTGGTTTTTCTGATGCGATGCAATGTAAGGTCTATGATTTCATTTCTATTCTTATTACTAGATGAACACTCAATATTTGATATTGTACTGGCGTGATATCCAACAATTTTTAAACAGCATTTTTGAATTTAAACTAAATCAGTTCTACATACGAATTTAACTTTCATTTCCATTATTTTCAGAAATACAGCTTAATTAGTTAAGTAATTTATAAGGGTTTTGAACTAAGGATCGTTTTTATTCACGTGGTATAAGCTAACCAATTTTTTATTTCCTATACTTTTTTTCAATACAGCGAACTACGTAAACTAGTATGTTCTGAGTTATATACTTACTTAAAAGTGACGTCTTAGTGAGCACTGTATTGTCTTACAAATGAACTGATGTAAAACACCAGAATAGTACTTAGTTGGTTTAAACCCTGTCATATCCCAACAAAAAATAATCAATGTTAACTGTTGGGATCTCTTTATGGGCTAATATTATACATATTTCTTATTGTATAATTGTTAAGTAACTAAACTATTCATATTCGTGTTCCTCTTATTATAGGCTTTATTTTAATCTATAGACTGTTATAATACGATTTACCATTCTTAAGTTATGCCCAGTTTATCAATTGCTATCTCCCACATTCACAGTCACTTGTGGCTAAATCTTGTAAAAATGTTATTTTCTATTTCATGGTACGATGTGGTCTGTTTGGTTTGTATATAAACTTATTATATTTGAAATACATGATTCATATCGCAGAAACTGAGATTGGTGTTCTGGACTTAACAAGTAGGGATAAGCTGGATGCGGGACCGGTAAGGACTCTCGATTGCTCGTACGGGTTTTATGCGCCATTGGTTCGGTCGATAAATCACTGTTCTCTGATTGGTGGTATCAGTACGGTATACATTATTAGTGCACAAGGCCACAAGTTATAACAAACCTCCTTTGGGTTATCCATACACACTGACGAACCGTCTATTCCTCGTTCGTTTCTAGTATTAGATTCGCTGATGTTAACACATAATAAAGACTAACATTCATATTATTGTGTTATTGAATACAACAATGCGTATTTCACGAGGTGAAAGATATCCTAGACCAAATATTATCTATATAAGTGGATTAAAAATGAATTCCTAACTAATAATTGTTAGTAACTTAGTCCACAATGTTTTCACAAATACGCTTTTTAAGATAAAGCAAAACGAAATCCAAATAGAATAGAATAAAATGGATGAATCTGTAATAAAAGTAGTCAACTATTATTTCTTGAGATGATTAAAGCAACAGAAAGTTACGACATTAAATTAAGTTCAGTATTTATCCATTTTAGTGTAAATGTTTCCTATCTTAAAACAGTTATCCTTAAGGCCTATAATGAATTAAAACAACCTACCCATGAATTTTAACTCAGACAGTGCATATTCTGTAACAGTCTATCCGTTTCATTTAGGGCTTTGCATATCTCTCTCATTGAAAAATTTCATTCGGGGATAATTTATTATAACCAGTAATATAAACATTATCTGTGAGGAAGACATGGACCCTAATGAAATTTTGAATAGTTTTAATAATTGTCACTCGTCAATTCGATAAACTTCAGAAGCAGAGATAAATAATGAATTTCATTTTCTTGATGTCCGATTGAAAAGAATACTGGATGGTTGTTTACAGAGAGCTATATATAGAAAACTTACCTGGAATGGACAATACACGAATTTCTATAGTTGGGTTCCACTCAGTAGGAAAAGGAACTTCATTCACTCTTTATCCTCTAGGATCAAGTGAATCTGTACTAATGACACAATTGATAAAGAACTATTCCAACTTCGACAGCTTAACACCTAGACTTCATCATGAAAGAGCATAGACAGTGCAGAAGAAAACCTTGTTTATGAATATGGAATTTAAAGGAGATAAAGCTGCCGAAATCTTGAATAAACAGATTTTAAAATCGTTGAATAAAACGTTCTACGCAGCAAAGCTCCGAATTGTTTTCTCTAGTTGACCGACCATTCTAGGATGTGTTAAGGGTAAACTTCCGCTTTAGGCCACATCAATGTGTATCTATAAATTTACTTGCTCATTTGGGGTACGTTACACAGGCTGTACAAAGCGATCATTGTCCAAACGTATATCAGAACACTATCCAGCATGGCTTTTAAAAGGAGAATATAAAAGAATTACTAGTTCTATATAGGAGCATTTAATTAACTGTGGACACATCGCTCCGAAAGATTCTTTTTTTAAAGTAATCTACAGAGTCAAAGGAAATGGATCAATGGGGTGTCGAATCAATATTTTATGCACTGCTGAGGCATTGCCAATCCAGGAACTCAAGCCTGAACTTTGTTTGCAAAAATGACTCGTCCAACCGTTCATCCTTCCTTGGCCTTAATTCCCTTAATGATTATGTTTTGGGTTGTTTTTTTGTACTTTTATTTGGTTATTATTGAATTTTTTAATTTTTAAATTATTGTTTTATAATTCTAAACTCTAATCAGTGACTCTTATTACCTTATACAAGTTTTCTTGATTATTATGACATTTGTGTTTGTCGTTTTCCTTCATATCTGTCAATTGGACTATTATCTGACCCATAAACTATTTTCTTCCTTATCCCTTGATTAATACTTAACTTCATTTGTTATTTATCCTCGAATCCATTTTGGTGATGCAATTTTTTCCATCCTCCTATAGACATATATTTTCCATATAACTATACATACGAACGTACAGCTTAAGTAAATGACTTCATCAAAAAGAAAATTTTCTTCTCTGAATCCTCTTTTTCTTATTCAATGACATAAAATATAAATGAAATAATTCCAGTCAACTTTGGTTATTCATCATTATATCTTTTTTTAATTTGTGATTGATTTCATGTGGTTAAAAGGGTATTGATTGTTTTTTTCTTCGAAGATGGCTATAAATATTATAAGTGAATGATTGTCTTATCAACTATTCATAAGCTACGAGACATGTTAAGTTTTTAAGCTTAAATAAAAATAAAAGTTATTCAACTAAGATATTGTATTAAAAAGTTTCAACGCCTTAGTTTCTGTTACATTTACAATGAATAAATTGAAAACATACAAAAATAAGATTAACAATTTGTATTAATAAATAAAAATAATATATTTGTAATATCCCAATGAGTAGAAAATTGGATTTTCTGACGTTTTGTGACTTAGTGTAAGTCACTTCTTCAGAGAATAAATAACCAAATTACAATTAATCCAAGTTTAATTTGGTTATTTATTCTCTGAAGAAGTGACTTACACTAAGTCACGAAACGTCAGAAAATCCAATTTTCTACTCATTGAGATATTACAAATATATTATTTTTATTTATAACAATGAACACAATGCTCAATTTATTCGAAATTATCAAATCAAACCTTGGTAATGACACCTACAAATTTGTATTAATGTTTATAAATTATTATTTAAGTAAATATCTTTCTAAAATCAGATAATATGATTGTTTTGAAAAGTGATTTTCACCTTGGATTTCAGTCCCTTCATACAAGCTATAATCCATGTTGATAAGTAAACATATAGTTGAGAATTTAAGAGTTATTAAAAATATAATATATCTATTTTGTTTATTACAACTGTAAATTTTTGAACAATATTAAGTGCTATATTAGTCAGAGCCGTTGAGTACCCTGTTATCTTTTATATCTTAAAGAAGAATGTGAGATAAAACTTTCCAATGTACAGGATTAATTTCTTCAATTGGCGTAAATGAAGTATTCGGCTGTTAAAATCATCATATGCATTTTAATCACTATGTAAGAAAAGTGTGAAACAATTGGAATACATGAAGTATTGGATTCTTTCTTAATTTGTATTCATAGGCCCATATCAGAGTAAAACTGATACTTCAAAATGTTTTGAAGAAGCAAAATCCTTTTATAGTAAATATGTTAAGTATATTGAAACATTCAGTCCCTATGCAATTAAGCAAATATTTCAAAAGCTCTTTTATTACAGTAATTTATTTATTCTTAGAAATTGAGGAAAGTACTAATGCAACTGATTGATTAAATGATTTAAGTTGTATCCTAAGAATACGTTATACAATTCATATATTTCTCTTTGCATAACAGTTATAATATAACAGTAAGGCTGTTTATTTTTCTAAATACAGTTGTAAATAAGATTCTAAATAACATTA